ATAATAATAATAATAATAATGGTACTTTTATAGCGCATATTAACATTTGGATGTGTTTACATGCGCTTCACAAAATTATTTATAAAAACTATTCACAAATAAAAAATTAAAACAAAATATTCACAAATTTTTATTATTATTTCATGTATGCTTACATTCAATTGCCCCATGGACCTGGAACACAACACATGAGCTTGTCAACTGAACGTTAGGAGCGTCATTTCGGCACTGTATTGCAACTCTAACAAGACGACCAGCAGTTACGTTCTGGAATAGTGTTGTACCGGCTTTAATCTGAAAGAAAAAACAACAGGATCAGCCAGAAATCCCTGCACTAGCTCCCGTGTGGTCAAGTTCCTTTTAGCGCTGAATCACTATCTCACTTGCAGGGGGTGATGCAAAAACCTTACCCCATTTAGTGTCCATATGTATGGCTTATATTTTTGGGCAGTTCTGGGCATTTTCAGCAGACGCTTGCTAAGCTCATTCCCATCGTAAAATCATAGCCGTTCTTGAACAAAGAGTTGAAGCATTTACCCAGCTAAGACGAAAAAATATTTGCGATTTTTGCGCATTTCCTAATTCAGGCCTGATCCAAAACTCAGCAACTGCTCTAGCTAGTGACCCTACATGCATTATCTTAATCAAAATGATTCAAACAACATACAGACCTATTTAGTTTACTAGATAGCAGACTAGAGTGGATTTTGATAAGGGTATTAGAAACTCTGTTATCATTTAAATTATTGCCAATTTCTTGACCCTCAGTTAAAATTGCAGCCCGTGTCTCAGCTATCAGAAACTTTTTAGCTAAAAATGCACACGTTATCAGCTGACAGTTAAAATTTTGACCAATTCTCGTCTTGCACTAACCCCGTGCAGACAATCATTGTTAGTAACTAACCCTAATCTTCAGCTGACTTGAGGACCAACCGGGTGTCAGCTCTATAGTGTCAAGCAGATTTGGTTGTCTTGCCCAAGAACACAACACAATGTCCCCAGCCAGGGCTCGAACCCGGACCGCTCGATCCGGAGACGCTACAAATTTGATACGGGAGTTGTGTTTTCCACTGTATTTCTACCATGTTTGGTTCGTTTGAAAGGTGTAAAAAAGACATCAGTATTCGGTAAAGGAAATAGCGAATATTACAAGGCTAGCTGGCCGACATCCTTAACCCCCCAGCGGTTTCAATACAAAACTAAATTTCCAGTCTGCGTCATTTCGAAACAGCCGTGGTAAGATCTAGGCCTAGGTTAAACGTCAAACTTCAAATGAGACGAACTTAATTACAATTAGAGTCGATCCAANTTGTTAACCCCTGAAAGGTACGATAAGTACCCCCCTCATTTTTATATCGGATTCCCCCCACCTCCCCCTTGGGCTGGACTCCTGTTGTGATTTCTCTGATTTTTATTCTTTTTGCTTGTAGCCGCTACAAATTTGATAGGGGAGTTGTGTTTTTCATTGTATTTCTACCATGTTTGGTTCGTTTGAAAGGTGTAAAAAAGATATCAGTATTCGGTAAAGGAAATAGAGAATATTACAAGGCTAGCTGGCCGACATCCTTAACCCCCCACCGGTTTCAATACAAAAAAGTTGATTCGACATGCGAGAACTAAGTTTCCAGTCTGCGTCATTTCGAAACAGCCGTGGAAAGATCTAGGCCTAGGTTAAACGTCAAACTTCAAATGAGACGAACTTAATTACAATTAGAGTCGATCCAAACTGTATGGTCAAACTTTATTTAACAAACTATGACTTGAGCAACCGACTGACGTTCATACCTGCTTGTTGTCGAACATCTCTGACTTGAAGGCAGCCGTAACTTGACTCGTAGAAGGCAGCGGTCTGGCCTTGTAGATCCTTGCAATAACACCAACATAAGGAAAGTGCAGCACCGTTGAAATTGTTGCATTGTGACTTGTACCCAGGGCAATGAGAATCTGGTAAGAGGAAATCGTCCGACATCACAGTACTATCACGCCAAATGCTAATGAACTCGGCCGAGCTGTAGCCTGTGATTGTGATCGTGAAGAAAATGAAAGCTTCCGACAATACAGTCATCGCTTTAGTCAGGTTTTGTTTTCGGAATCGTTGGTTGAAAAGATATAATTCCGACAAGTACGATAATTAATCGAATCGCGCCCTACTCTGTCTCTGATTTCGCTTCTCGCCAGTAGTGAACCCTGGGAACTTCACTTCTTTCAACTTTTTCAATTTTGCGTGTCAGCGTTACGTCAAATTACACCCTCGCTGAAACTAAGCATAGACTATCCACGAAGGCAGCGAAACCCCAAAACACGGAAACTGCAGTGACCAGCCATCCTTTGCAATATCCGTCCAGGATATTGATCCTATAGGATGCCATTACTTCCATATTGATGGCCACTGATGGCCATTGGTGAGTAAGATATTACACCACCTTTCCTTTGGGGGGTGGGAATCCCATGAAAGGGCAGGGGTGCTCTTCCTACCTTATAGGGGGTTTAAAAAAAAAGGTTTGGTACCTCCTAGAGTGTTTCGCCTCAAAAGGTTCACAGCGCTAGCTTATGCGATACCTTTTAGGGTATTGAGCTGAAAAACGGCAGTTTCAGATAAGTCAGTGTCATGTTGTTTAAGAATTAGCACTTCTTGGGGATGAAAACAATTCCAAGCCACACCCACAAAACAGGATCTTGGTACCTCTTAGGGGTTGTTTTCAAAATTTCCGACGAGCCTCTCCCCCCCCCCCCCCCCCCCCCC